TTAGATTGGGAATGCAGAGATCGACGAAGCAGATGTGTATGCCGGAAAGTTTGATTATATGTGGACACACGCACTTATATCCGACGAAACTCACGAGGGAATCATACGAAATTGCAAATTTTCAAACCTGTCCGACGTTTCAGATGACTGCATAAATTACATAAACAAAGCCTATGATGAGAGTGGAAACATCAACCCTTATAATATTTATGTGCCGTCTTCTTGCGACCTATCTTTACATGCTACACCGGTATTCATTATAACCTCTCTTTGGTGTGAGTTTAGATCTTATTACTTTGGCTACCAAATCGATAACCTAATTAACGATTTTCGCAATTCGATTTTCGTTTTTTTTCAGAATGACCTAAATAATTACAATCCATGCTCGATGAAATATGTAACTACATATTTAAATAAGGTTGAAGTGCAAAAGGCTCTTCATGTGAATGTGATCAATGGAAAACCCATGAAATGGACTCCTTGCAAGTATGTATCATGTAAATTAGTTATCATACAAATTGTATTCAATTGTTATATTACTATGTAAGTTAATTTGTTGTTATTAACTAATGTGAACTTCCTTGTAGCACCAATATACCTGATAACTGGACTGATAGTCCCAACTCAGTATTGCCCATCATTAAGAATCTGATGGCCAACGGTATTAGGGTTTTGATCAACAGGTGAGCCCATATACTTATGCTAATTTAACGACTATTGTCGCGTAAAAGCACAAATTGTACATACTATACATGTGTAGCGGGTAAATTTTTTACATTTTTTGCATAACTGTATGGGTATGCATAACAAATAAGTCTAATTGGAATTCAATTGCAATTTTGACTAGAAATTGACACGTCATGTACCCAAACTTTGTTAATTTCAGGCCAAATTTTGGATTTTTAGACAGAATTATTTGTAAATTAATTAATTTAAAACTATGAGACTACTATTAATTAATTGAATTCCAACAAAAATTACTTCAATACTACGCCTAATAAGACTAGCTAGCTGGCCTGATACATCANTAGATGCACACTAGAAGCATGTCAATTTTACATATCTATTAATTAATCAATTTAATTTTACATGATTGATTTCCAAAAACAATAATGTAGCTACGTACATGAAATGAAAATCTTTAATTTCGATTCAAATTGAAAAATCGACAATTAATGTGTAAATGTTTGGAATTTTGACTGTATTTGCAGTGGAGATATAGATTCTGTGATTCCAGTGACATCAACGGAGTACTCACTTTCCAAGATTACTACATCTACACAAGTCTCATGGTATCCTTGGTGCAGTGATAATAATAATAACGAGGTAAAACTAACAAGTTTATGCAACTTATAGGTTATATAAATGTCATTGGCAATTATTTACCAAAAACTCTTGGGCAATGATGCGAAATAGTTAGGCGGACGACAAATTATACCTAGACATGGTCACTGGCCTAAACTGGGGCCCGTCTCTAAAATCTTGAATCGGAACGGAGATATAAAGGTTTTGGTTCGAGAACCCATTGGGTCCAGTCTAGGTTAGTCCAATTGTTATTAGAAATATACAATAAACATAAATTATGTTACACCGACCCCTCAGTTCTAGTGAATCTCGATCGTTGATCTTGCAAATGCTACAAGATTCAACGGTCTAAATTAAATTAATAGTCTGTACCAACCCACCGATTTCAAATCCTACCCTTTGGTTTGCTTGATCCATTACAACAACAACAATAACATAGCCTTTTAGTCCCAAGCAAATTGGGATAGGCTAGAGATGAAACCCAAGAGAACCAATGGTAAGAGAAACACAAAAAGGGCTCAAAACAAAAAGAAGAGATTGGAGCAAAATAGAAACGAGCAAAAGTCACAGTTCTGACACGTTGATTGCTAGCCTCCAAGCGCTCCTATCCGTTTGCTAGATCCATTACCCAAAAAAAAAAAATCATATTCCAACAAAAAATCCAACAGTAAAATATTTCAAATGAAAATTCCAACGAAATGAATGAGTTTCCAATTGGAATTTTAGTTGGAATTTGATGGTTTCAACAGTCATTTTTCCAACGATTTATTACCGTATAAATTTTTGTTGAAATATGTAACTTCCGTTGGAAAGTTTATTTCAAGCAATATTTCAACTTTGGGAAATTTGTTGTTGGAACGTAAAAATCCAACGAAAATTCCAATGCAAAATTCATTCCAACTGAATATTTTCGTTAAATTGTCGTTAGAATCTATCAAAAACTTATCAAAGGAAACAACATTAAAAAATCAATTGGAAATAGCCTTTGGAGTTTCATCATTTTTTAGTGTTGATCGTTCAACGGGTTGATTGTAAAACCCATGTTCGAACATAATGGCATTCATTTTGAGCCGACCGAATCCCAGATCGACCCGTGGGCCGGCCCAATCCAAATATGAAAACACCGCTATGGCCTATTGGAGTATCTTTATTTCTTAGCCTAGTCCTTCATCTTTTTGCTTCTTCAATTCTTCACGATATTTTTTTTTTCAACAGGTGGGAGGTTACGCAGTTGGATATAATAAAAACATGGTGTTCGCCACCTTAAGAGGGGCTGGGCATGGTGGGGCAGTTGACCAGCCAAAAAATGCACTTACTTTGATTGCATCCTTTTTAGCAGGAAAATTACCTCCAAGTTGCGGAAAATAAATAAATAAAATAAATAAAAGGATTTAAATAAAAAATATATACTGTTATTGTCAATTGATGTTATAAAAAATATTTGTTGGAACAAATTATATCATTTTTGTCAATTGATGTTATATTTACTTCGTGATCTTACAAATTGATGTTATAGCTTACCTTGTACGGTCCGCAATGTATGTTGTACTTTTATTTTTTCTTTTAAAAGAGACCAGTCTTAAGTAATCTGTTTTGGGAGCCCTACCTACTTACATTATGTCCTGCTACAAAATACCTTTATCCATTTGTGATGACATTTGCAGGAACACAACTAATTTTTAGTGTGGAAAGAAGGAATGGTGGGCATAAGTTACATTGGGCTAGATGGGATAGGTTAGCTAGACCTATGGAAGAAGAGGGCTTGGGGTTCAGGGATGTAAGAGCCTTCAATGAGGCTTTAATTATGAGCAGAGTGGTAAAGGGTAAATATTTTTCATAATTCTAAGCTTATGGGAGTCAAGCCTAAAAACAGTGATTCTTGATTTTGGAGGAGTTGGCTTAGTGTGAGGCACTCTTTTGGGAGACGAGTTAGATTCCAAATAGGTAATGGAAGATCTGTGGATATTTAGGAGAGTCCTTAGATCCCAAATATTCCATCTTTTAAACCTAGTTTACACTTCCCTAGTGACAGGACTGGGTAGGTGAAAGTTTGTGATTTGATTTGTTTGGGTAGTGGGGAGTGGGATAATGAGTCGGTTTCTCAGTCCTTTGATCATGTTGCACAAGCTATCCTTTCTATTCATTTAATTACTGTAGATTAAATGATAAACTGGTGTGGCACTTCACTAAGTTTGGGAACTTCACTGTAAAATCTGCCTATGAGAATATTCTAAAACTCTCTCAATCCAAGAAGACAGAAGGAGAAGCTGGTTCTAGATCTAATTTGTCAAAGAAGATATGGAGGAATACCTGGAAGTTATCCATCCAAAACAAGATCAAGAACTCTATGTGGAGGAGTTGGCATGGGTTTGTGGCAACCAATTTGAATCTGAAAGTCAAAAGAGTGAGTGAAGATGAGGTCTGTAGGATCTGTGGGATGGAAGAAGAAGACCAAGAGCACATATTCTTCAGATGCTCTAGAGCTAAAAAGTGCTGGAAACTAATAGTAGTGAATTGGTGGAAGGTGAATTCTGGTAAAGGGAAGTTTAGGGATTGGTGGGAGATGTCTGTTGTGCAAATAATTTCCATAACCTCAAAGATAGAATAAGTCTCTCAACTTATCTACTTTGGTGGTTGTAAAAAACAAGAAAGTCATGGGTGTTTGAAAATAGTTGGGTCAAGGAGGAAAAGGTGGTGGAGAATGCAAAGAGTGATTGATTAGAATTTATCAAAGTTAGGGAAGCTGGTGAAGTTAAGGAAGTTTGGGTTGAGTGTAACATGCACAATAAGGAGAAATCAAGGGCAGAAGCTAGTGACATTCTCTAGGTGACAGTGAAGGTAACATTGGAGAGGGTGGGTATCTTTACTTGTGAGTTTACTGCATTGATGAATTCTATATTGGTACTAGACAAAGTTGTATCTAGGGATTTCCTTGGAGATTCAGTGGAGACTTGGCTAGTAGCAATCAGATGGACTTTGGAGTCTCTGGTGGAGCTGCATTAGGATAATCTGAAGTTGCACATTGGGAGCAAGAGTCTGGTGCATGTGCTGAATAAAGGGCTTAATGAAGGCTTAGTAGAGGATGTGGTCACAGCAGACATCTTCTTCTTAGCTAGGTCCTTTTCTTCTTGCTGTTTTTCTGCTTAATTTAGTGGTGTGGTTGATGTTTTTTCTTGGTTGGTGCTGGTAAGCCGTCTTGGCTCATTAAGGGGCTATATGAGTCACCCTGTAACTTAGTTTCAACAGTAGTTGGCAACTTTGTCCGTACCCCTTGTGGTATGCGGATTGTGTTTATTGTATTCGGTTTGAGTTGTGTTTTATATAAGTAGTTATCGTTGGGAAAAAAAATTAACAACAAATGTTACAAATTTTCACTTTCGTTCCGTTACATGAGATCAGTTTTTTTAATTTTTGTTCTTTACTTCGAGCTAAAATCTAGCCCTTTGCTTAACCGGAAAATCGAACTTTTATCCAGTTGTTTCTTCGGATTATAACAAAATATATAAGTGATTTGGAAACTGCCATGCAATTCAAATGAACTACAATCTCATTGCAATTGTGGTGATTCGCAATTCTATACGTTGATTTCTGATGCTTCGTGTCAACAATTCGTAACCTTATATATTGATTGTTGGTGTTTCGTAATTTTATATGTTAAATTCTGGTGCTAGTATTCCAAGTAAAATTAGACTTTTATTCATACTTCCTATCAAATTTTTAAATTATAAAATATTTGATCAACTTAAATTATAAATTTATTTTAAACTTAAGAAATTTTTTATTTGTTACTGGTTTTTGACATATGATATATCAAATTAGTTGTCTTTTGACGATCTACAGTTTGGTGTCCATATTGCATATATATATTAAAAAATATATCTAGATTTATAAATAAAAAATAAATTATCTAATATATGGTAATTAAAAATTAATAATAGTAATTACTAATTAAACTTATATCTATCAAGATTATCTTAATAAAATTATTATAGAATAATACTATTAAACCCTACATAAATGAGTGTAATTTTAAAATAAAAATAATGAATAAATTTTTAGAAATTATTTGAAATTTTAGATAAAAACTTTTTTTTATATTTTAAAATAATAAAAAAATCATTAGCACCTGTCTAATATATGAGTGTTGTAGCACTACTACTAGTAAATATAGAAGACCTATGTTATTTACCATTGGCAATCTAAGTTAACGAAATATATTTGTGGGCATAATATTAGAATGAAAACTTTTATTAAATATAACATGGTGAGTAGCTTATTAATGATTGGTGGTTATTATTAAATTATAATGATAATATTGAGGATAGTGGGATTGAATTAAAGTTGAATTAGATTTTGAGTATGAATTAATTTGGTTTGAGTAAATTTTTTTACAAACACAAAGAAGGAAAAATAAATAAGGTAAGGTGGTATTAGGCCTAATGAGAGGTAATGGCAGTTGGGCCAAATGAAATATGGAGATAACATGCTTAGAAATTAAGATTCGGGCCCAAAGGTAACTAAAGATGAGGACTTGTCACTTGAGGAGCTTGGTTTTTAAATTAAAGATGATGATGATGAGATTTTGTATTTCAGTAATGTATTTACACGCAATCACTTATTAAAGTTACAGTTAAATTCTTTATTTAATAGGAGGTCAGCATTTGTAAAGTTAAGTACGTGCATTTATTTACATTTGCATTTCACAACTTGAGAATTACATTTAAAATATAGATTTATATGCTTTTATTCATTTTAATCACTCAATATAATTGTTATTAATATACATGTCACAATATAATTGTTAATAATAAAATCATGTGATGACATGTAACTAACCTTCGGGTCCAGATTGATATTATTTTTTAGGTCTTTAGGCAATACCTATATATGAGTCAATGAGTCAATATATATACTAGCGCACTTATTATTGCGCGATTGCATTTTATTGATATGTGGATTCATATTAGAATATGACTACAGTATTTTAGTTCATATAAACGTATAATATATTGACGATTATCATTATTTTTAATTTGGAAACATTGCTTAGTATTTTCCATCAAGTCGTACACTCTATCCACTATCTTTTGAGAAAAAAAATACGTATCAGATTGTGTATCTTTCAAAAGATGTATATAAAGGGCATTTATAAATCTAATCCACCTACAATTACAAACATTTTATTTGTTGAAATTATTAATGTTGAGGGCTTGCACTTTCCAAGATTAAAAGTTCTTTTATTTATTAATTAGGTCACGCTTTTATTAAGTCGACCTAAAATTTCCGCTACAATTATTTTTAACAGAGTTTGCAGTGTGAACAAATTTTATTTAATATTGTCAAGGCTTTATATTTGAATCTAAATATATTTTTTTTAAAAAAAAATTTACACTCATTTTAAATACAAAAAATTATTTAATGAAAAGTCCAATATATGAAATCAAGACCGATATTGCCTGCACGTCGGCCAAAACCAGCACGTCCCATCCCAATGTATATATCATCATCAACTAGTTACTAATTTTCACATATTAAATTTCATAGTTTATATTATATAGTTAAGACCAAAAAAAATGAGAAAATTCAAGATTGGTACGCTCTATAAGATTAGGTATGTGGCAAAAATGACTTCTTATTGTCATAAGTCATTTCTATTCTCCTAGTTCTTATCTGGATTTATCATGCATTATAATTTTCGAATTAATAAGTTAATGACTTTTTTATTAATTGAATTTTTTGTTTGTCTTCATAACAATATGAATTCTGTTATTCGGGGACTAATTGATTAAACAGTCATACTTTTTTAATAAAAATAAATATTTAAACTATACGATGTTTCTAAATTGCAGTTTCCTTCATTAAGCTCACAAAATTGCAGTTTCCTTAACCAAAAAAAAACTCATTTGCCGCTTTCTTTCTTAGCTCGTCTTCCCATCTCGCTTGCTTAGATCGAGCATCTTATTAGCACGGATCCAACTTATTCTAGCTTGTTATGATGACCGACCAACGAATTAAACCGAGCAATATATGGGCTATTACATATTTCTAGCATGTGGATGATGTCACGTCATTATAAAATGTTATACTTTTATTATATTAAAATTCTAATGTATGACGTCTAAATATAAAAATATGTAAATTTATTGAAAAAAATATGTTTGTCAAAAGTATTATTGGGATGTCTTTTTGGTATATATGATAAAAACTGTCAACCCTAATTAATTGTTATAATATAATTTAATATGACAATATCAGTATCTATTGTTTTAACTTATCACACATATATACAACTTTGATGTAGAAATGTTGGAAAATTTTGTTAAAGTCCATTATTTCAGATAACTTAGTTAATCATAAATTAAAATGACATGATCTCATAAGTAAGATTTTTCATTAAAATTTGATTAAAGTAGCATGCCAACGGTCCAAACGGTGGAAATAAAAATTCCAACGGAAATTGCATATGCCAACGGAAATTCCTACAGTCCAAACGCCGTTGGAATCATTAAATTTCATCTAAAATTCCAATGAAAAATACATTCCAACAGAATATTTTCGTTGGAATTTCCGTTGGAATCATTCCAACGGAAGCTATACCATTGGAATATCCGTTGAAATTTTCATTGAAATATATTACTATAGGATTTTCCGTTGGAATATAACAATTTTTTTGTAGTGGCACATGACATAATGTTGTATTTACTATTTAGGAAGTAACATATGGAAGTATGCTAGCTTTGACATTTTTATATATGTGAATTTATATTTTCTGTCACGTTAATTTGCAGCTGTACGAAGCTGACTGCAATTTTAATATCGAAAAATCGAATTCACCTAAATCTGGTCACTCATTAAATTCGAAAATATTGCAAATGGAATATTTTGAATAGTGCATTTAGTATCAATATAGTATGTCTAAGCCAATAAATTTTCTCGTGTTGAGTATATTCATATTTGAAAGTTCAAAAAACCAGCAGAAGAAAATTAAAGAATGAGCAAAGCTGTTGTGAAACGGGAACAATACGAATTAAAGACGATAAAGTAAAATGACACAAGATTTACGTGGTTCGGCAATATGCCTACGTCCACGGCGGAGCAGAGATCTTATTATTATTCACGATATCCCAAATACATCAATACACCATGTATTTATATCATATCCCTACAAGGTATAAATTTACATAAATACCCCGTACCGTACCGCTTCCCTCGCTACGCTCGCTCCGTTCCGCTCGCAGGCATCGGCCTGCCTCCTTCCTTTGTCAATATATGAGCCATATCAACAAATCTCCACCTTGGCGAATATATCACCTCCTTAGGAGAATACAATAGCGAGCAACTATGCGAGACACACCAAGCAGGCCGGGGGTACCATGCAACTCTAGCATGCAGAAACATTCAACAAATCCAAACAATGTTTGAATTTGTCATAAGTAACAGCCTTAGTCAACATATCAGCAGCATTCTCTTCAGTACGAACTTTCTCCAACTGAATATCCCCAGAAGCAATCCATTCCCTAATCTTGTGGAACCTCACATCAATATGCTTCGTCCTAGCATGATATACTTGATTCTTAGCCAAATGAATAGCACTCTGACTGTCACAATATAATAGAACTCCACCTTGCTGAATACCCAACTCTCTAACCAATCCAGCAAGCCACACTGCTTCCTTTGCCGCTTCAGCCAAAGCAATATACTCAGCTTCAGTTGTAGATAGAGCAACTATAGGCTGAGTATGCGACCTCCAACAAATGGGCCCTCCACCAAAAGTGAAAACATGCCCAGTGGTAGATCTCCTACTATCCAAGTCGCCAGCATAATCAGAATCCACATATCCTACAACCAAGGGATCCAACTGCTGATCTCCAAACACAATACCATGCCCCGCAGTGCCTTTCAAATATCTGAAAATCCATTTAACTGCCTCCCAATGCTGTTTACCCGGCCTAGACATGTACTTGCAAACTTGACCAACAGCATGAGCTAAATCAGGACGAGTACATACCATGGCATACATCAAACATCCAACAGCACTGGCATAAGGTATCTCCACCATATCCTGAGTCTCCTTGTCCGACTTGGGGCACTGATGAACAGAAAGCTTGAAGTGGTTTGCCAATGGAGTGCCCACCGGTTTGGCTTCATTCATCCCAAACCTCTGTAGCACCTTTTCCACATAACCCTTCTGAGATAACCACAGTCTCTTTGATCCTCTATCCCTGTGAATCTCCATCCCAAGAATCTTCTTCGCAGCCCCCAAATCCTTCATCTCAAATTCCTGACTCAAAAGCCTTTTCAGATCAACAATATCACGCATATTCTTAGCAGCAACAAGCATGTCATCAACATAGAGTAACAGAAAAATAATGGAACCATCACCAAGGCTCTTAGTGTAAACACAACAATCAAACTCACAACGCTTGTAGCCAATCTTCGTCATATACGAATCAAACCGTATATTCCACTGCCGCGATGCTTGCTTCAAGCCATACAAGGATTTCTTCAATCTGCAAAATAAATGCTCCTTTCCTGGTTGAACGAAACCCTCTGGCTGCTGCATGTAAATAGGCTCTGCGAGATCACCATGCAAGAAAGCAGTCTTCACATCCAGCTGCTCTAAATGCAAATCCCAACTAGCCACCAACGCAAGCACAACCCTGATCGAAGTATGTCTAACCACAGGGGAAAAAGTCTCGTCATAGTCAATCCCCTTTTGCTGTGAGTATCCTTTGGCCACCAACCGAGCCTTGAACCTTTCCCCTCCTTTTTCTGTTACCGATGACTTCCTTGTGTAAATCCACCTGCAGCCAATGGCTTTCTTCCCGTTTGGAAGAACATCCAACTCCCATGTCTGATTCTTATGCACAGAATTCATCTCTTCTTCCATGGCAGCCTTCCATCTATCACTATTTCCACACGAAACAGCCTCCTGGAAAGTCTCAGGATCGACACTAGTGATCGTAAGAGCAAATGCCACCATATCCTCATAACCAAATCGGACCGGAGCTTGTATATTGGTACGCCTCACTCTATCCCGGGCTAACTTGTAGCTCTCTGACACATCAGTTGTGCCAGAAATATCATGATCAACATCATCAGGTGCAGAAGTCGAACTATCTCCCTTATCAAGAATTGCTGGAACATGTTCCAACTCCACTTGGACCTTTTCTGCATCTGATCCCACCATAGACTGTTCATCAAACACTGCATCTCTACTAAACACCGTCTTCTTCTCAACTGGATCCCAAAACTTGTATCCCTTCACACCTTTCTTATAGCCCAGAAAAATGCACTTCTTTGATTTAGCATCCAGTTTTGACCTCTCATCAGCAGGAACATGAACATAAGCAGGACAGCCAAAAATCTTCAGATGATCAAAACTAACATCATTACCTGTCCACACTTCTTCTGCAACTTTGCCATCCAGAGATGCACGTGGTGATCTGTTAATCAAATAACAAGCCATACTTACAGCCTCAGCCCAGAAACTCTTCGACAATCCCGCATTGAGTCTTAAACACCTCGCCCTCTCAGCCAGTGTCCGATTCATCCTCTCAGCAACACCATTCTGCTGTGGTGTTTTACGCACTGTGAAATGCCTTTGAATCCCATGCTCCTCACAGAACTTCTGGAACTGTGAATCGGTGTATTCTGTACCATTATCAGACCTTAAGTACTTGATCTTCCTACCAGTCTGGTTCTCCACCTCAGCCTTCCATAGCTTGAATTTAGCAAAAACTTCAGATTTCTGCTTCATGAAATACACCCAAACCTTCTTCGAAAAATCATCAATAAAGGTCACATAGTACACAGAACCACCCATCGATGTCACTTTAGTAGGACCCCACACATCTGAATGTATATAATCCAGAATTCCTTTTGTCTTCTTCTTGCCAGTCTTGAAACTGACTTTTGTCTGTTTTCCCAGAACACAAAACTTGCAGAAATTGAGCTTGCAAGTTTTAACACCATGCAGAAGCCCCCTCTTATGCAGTTCAGTCATGCCATGTTCACTAAGATGCCCAAGTCGCATGTGCCACAACTTCGTGCTATCTTCACACGACTCCACCGAATGAACTCCACCTACAACTGTACTTCCCAACAGTTTGTAAATGTTCCCTGCAGTGATCCTCCCCTTCATCACAGTCAAAGCACCCTTCACAATCTTAATGGTTTCCCTGTCCTCATCAGCCTTGGGAATGAAACCATTTCTATGCAAAGTGCCCAACGAAATCAAATTCTTCTTCAACTCAGGGATATGTCTCACATCACATAATGTCCTAACAGTTCCATCATACATCTTGATTTTGACATCCCCAATACCGACAATACCGCAGCATCTATCATCACCAAGAAAAACAGAACCCGAGTTACCTGGTTTATAAGTAGCAAACCACTCTCTGTTAGGCGTTATATGATATGAACATCCAGAATCGAGAATCCAAGCATCATCATATTGCGCAGTCGAAATAGATAACATATCTCCATCACTGCAATCAGATTCCTCATTCTGTACCACATTCGCAGACTTAGACGACTCAACAGTTTGTTTCTTCCAGTTTGGGCAATCCCGTTTGAAGTGCCCCTTTTCCTTGCACTTATAACACGTCACAGTTTTCTTCCCCTGCGACTTGTCTCGCGACTTGGATCTGAAATTCCGATTTCCTGAATTCTCCCGCCCCTGTTTTCTTCCACGATCCTGGTTACCCTTCACATATAAGCTGTCACTTTGAGTAGACGACTCTCCAGATTTCTGTTTCCGCTGGTTGTGAGCCAACAACGCTGAAGTAATCTCCTCAGTCTTGATCGTTTCTTTTCCATATGTAAGGGTAGTCACCATATGTTCGTAAGAAGGGGGTAACGAACACAATAAAATCATCGCCTTGTCTTCATCTTCAACCTTGACCTCGAGTGAAGCCAAATCTGTGATAATCTGATTGAAGATATTCACATGTTGCCCTAAATCGGTCCCCTCCTGCATCTTCAGCCCGTATAACCTCTGCTTCAGATACAATTTTAACGTTAGGGTTTTCGACATAAATTGCGACTCCAGTTTCTTCCAGATCTCATCCGCCGATTTGAGATGCATGACGTGATACATAACTTCATCTGCAAGGCACAGCCGAATCGTCCCGGCAGCCCGTTCCTGCAGATCTTGCCAATCATCGTCGTCCATCCCCTTTGGCTTCTCTGTGCGCAACCCTTTCTGAATTCCTTGTTGCGCCAATAAATCTTTTACTCTCGTCTGCCATAATCCGAAATTGCCATGACCATCAAATTTCGAAACCTCGAATTTCGATCCTCCCGTCATCGCCCAATCAACCTTTCTCTGATACCAATTGTTGTGAAACGGGAACAATACGAATTAAAGACGATAAAGTAAAATGACACAAGATTTACGTGGTTCGGCAATATGCCTACGTCCACGGCGGAGCAGAGATCTTATTATTATTCACGATATCCCAAATACATCAATACACCATGTATTTATATCATATCCCTACAAGGTATAAATTTACATAAATACCCCGTACCGTACCGCTTCCCTCGCTACGCTCGCTCCATTCCGCTCGCAGGCATCGGCCTGCCTCCTTCCTTTGTCAATATATGAGCCATATCAACAAAAGCCAATTAATTTTCTCTATATATCATAGATCTCTGGTTCGATTTGAATATTCACCAATTATTCAATCTTTATTGCACAAACAGATCAAAGTATTGATTCGTAAGGAGTAGAAAATTAGCAAATACTTTGCATCATCAAAGTTTACACGCCAAGAAGATAAAACGCTAAGTCGATTTCATAAATAAGTGACAATAATATAAGATTTTGGCTGAAAAGTAATATATAAAATTGTAAGGTTCTTCAGTATAGACAATTATACATACTCAATTTTATATATGTAAATTTTTTATTTTGTTATTTATATTCAATGCATGATATTTCACAGTATAAATATATATTTTTTCCAAAAAATATGTCACAAATTCTTGAATGAGGCCTCATAATTGTTAGCATTGTCACCCGCCATATGTTTTTAACAGAAATAAATACTTATACTATGATGTACTATTTTTCTTAGTATAACATTTTAATTTAAAGACATACATATTTATTTAATATGTGTGGATGTCAACATTCAAATTTGGTTAAGATTGTGTTTGTTGGTGACCTATTGGGTTGAGTCACCAACTAAACGCCAAAAAAGGAAAAAACATGCAAAATGGACGACCCAAGTCACAACGTGACTTTGAATTGCGACTTGGGTGTGAATGAGACACTTGTCACATTCCTATTCACTTGTTAGATTTTTTAGATAAGATAATTAAACAATTTTTAAAGAATAATAATTGGTTTAAAAATATCAAAATTCATTTTTTTTCATTCTTTATAAATAGAAATTACATATGATATATTTTGTTAAGAAATGCTCACATGCCCACGGTAGACACATGTTAATATGCTCACCGCTGATGTGGCATGCACACATTAGTGATGTTAATATGTTAAAAAAAATACATCACCAATGTGTGCATGCCACATCAGTCGGTGGCATATTAACATGTGCCCACCGTGGGCATGTGAGCATTTCTCATATTTTGAAATATAATTGTAAGTTCTCTATTTTCACTCTTTCCCTAATCATACGGTCATACCTTATTAATTTTATCATTTCTTTCATTTTTTTTCTAATTTCCAACAAATATCATATGGATCCAAATTTTTCTAATTATATATGTTTTTAATTAATTTGTCGCAACTACAATAATAACAAAAATCAATTGTAGATAATACTTAATAAATAAATAATAATAATAAAATAAGTATTTTAGGTCATGTTGGATCACTAATAAACATAAGTTGAGTTGTAAGGTTAGATTGTGTAGATGGATGATAGAGAAAATTATTAGGTTGTATTGAAGATAAAGATAATCTAAGAGCACTATTGATAATGAGTGGAGTCATCTTAAGATTAAGGGGGTGATTAGATATAAATAAAATTAATTTTGATTGTATTTACTGGTTAATTGAGTTAATTTTGAATATAACTGATTGACTTTGCATTATAATAATATTTAAAATATAATGACTAAAGTTGATATGATGTAAAGTATGAGATAGATTATTGGAAATGACATTAATTAAAAATATGTGATTGAATGAATATAGAATTAAAGTTGATATGATTGATATTATTTAAGGTTGTGTTTAGTAATTATATAAGCTAGCTTATAACTTATTTGATTACGTTATAAGATTCATGCAATCAAATAAATTTAATTTGGCAGGACGAGATTTTTTAAAACGCTCGAGTTTATCTTTTATTCTAGCTAGTCTATCAGCTAAGTTAACTAAACAATTTTATTGTATAAGTTAGTTTTTCAGTAATAAGCCATAAGCCATAAGCTATCAGCTATAAGCTCGAAGTTAACTTACAAACTATAAGATAATTAATCGGCTATAAACTAGCTTATCAATTAGGTAACAACGAGTTGTATTAAATTTAAGTTACATTGTAAATAATTGTCCAAACAGTCAAAAACAGTGTTCTAGAAGCAGGTAGGCACTCGACTAGCGCCTAGGCGAGGTTAAGATTAAATACATTATGTTTATTTATTTTTACAGCTTATAATATATTAACTCACTTAAGTCTAAATAATAATATTAATATATTATAAAGAAAACATGATAATAAAGTAAAGTAATTAGTATTTAAAATTTTTTAAAAAAATAAAAAAATGCTCCGAAGCCATCTAGGAGCGCTTAGGCCTGCCTAGGTGCCATCTGATCGATTTTTTCAGCCAAATTATGCAAATCAAAGGCGGTCGAGCGGCGCCTAACACCTATACAGGGCCAATTTTTAGTAAAATGGTCAAAACCGATAAATAGCAACATAACTAGTGTAAGACCAAGTCATAGACACGCCCCGTAACCCAAGCGCTAAGGGTAAACCCATTCATCTACCGGAGTCGTTTGAAGTAATCATCAAGGCATT